ATCTGCAAGATTAACAGTGTTAAACCTGTTTACTTCTAAAGGCATATAGCTTCATAAAATGTTTCCATCCAAGAAAGGAAGAATATGATTGGATGTAAACTTCTGATCATAAGTGTAACTTTAAACTGAATTAATCTGTAGGTATTGTGATACTGCAGTCGTATTAATCCAGGATACATCCCTCGTCTTCTCAGATGTGCAGCCGTGCAGCGCTGCAGGGGGAGGAGGTGGCCCGGCGGGCCGAGAAGCTGCTGGGAGATGTGGCCTACAGCCTGCTGTGGTACAACTGTGAACACTTCGTCATGTACTGCAGATACGGCACCGTCATGAGCTTCCAGACCTTCCAGGTGACATTAGAGGAACCCTAAACATTCATGGCACATAAACTAAAATCTCAACGACCATCGATCAAATCATCTCATTGCTGTAGTGGGGTTAAGCTCTGCGCTGCAGTAAATGTTCCTCAGTGAAAGCTCCTTTGTTTCAGCAGATTCTGTCTGCGATTAGGAGGCTGAGAGTATTAAGAGGAAGCTAACCAGGCTGAATGGAGGGAGGAGGGAAAGAGGAGGCTTGGGAAAGAGAAGGAAAGGAATTTAGAGCAGGTGTTGAAACTAAATCATTTAAGCTGTAAGCTGGCTGCAGCGAAAGGAACTAACATGAAGTACAGGTTATACAGAGGTGCTGAGACTGTAGAGGATAAATCTATTGATCATAAATAAACAGAAACTTACTAGAAGAACAGATAATGTAGTTTAAAAACACTCTGGTAGCTTTCATGTAATGCTACGTTCACACCAAAAGGAGCAGGAGCAGCAAAAATGTGTCTGCTGCTTCATTTTTGATGCTTGTACAAGCATAGTGGAAAAGAGGGTCTGATGCGCGTTGGGCGGAGCTACTCTATCCTTTCTTTGCCTTGCAGCTCTATTTGCTGTGATCAGTGGGAATAAAGTAGTTTTATTATGTTTTTAAGTGGGAAAATCCACCCGAAAACTTAATCTGTGCAGTCAGTTCATTCAGATTACCAACCTGCCTTCCAATATTATTGGTATTAGGCGCGCTGTCAGTAGGAATCCTATTCAACAGCAGCCTCTGGCCCGGTCGCCTTCTTGCGGCTTGCTGCAGCAGCTGAAAAGCGGTATTCATGTATGTAATCCAAACTGCAGGCACCAGGATAATAAAAGCGAATATGTTTTGCCAGCAGGTTTCGGCAGTTTAAGTTAATTTAGGCGTTAATAAATTGTTTCAGAGAAGTGATCATAGTGATCTGTATCAGCATCACTGTGTCTCTCTCCCTGCCAGCTCCCAGATCAGCTTCTCTGATTGGTTGATGTGGTCAAGCAGCAAAAGCTCAATTTTTTCAACTCGAGCAGTAGCTGCTCCCGACGCGCCGTTCCTGCTGCTAAAAAACTCGCTGTTGGACTTTTGCTGCGCCTTGACGCGCATCAACCAATAAACTTTGCATGTCAACTAGCTGCTCCTGCTGCCTTTGCTGCTTTTGATGTGAACGTAGCATAACTTTTGTTACATTACTCCATCTGTAAAAGAGTGACTATAGGAGCAGTTTGCTATAACACAATTTCTTACAATATGCATAATTAGGGGGTCCCTGCTCTATCTCGCCATCAGTTTGGGGATCCCTGGCCTGGAAAACGTTGAAGACCCCTGCTCTAGATAATAATAAAGTCTACAGTCAGATAAACACAAATCAAATGAAAATTTTACCAAATAAAACAAAAATATCACCATCATAGCTGGCGGTACTTCACACATGGCTGTCCAGAGAGAGTCAGATGGGCTAACGTTAGACCTGCCTGCTGTTACTGTTGGAGCTCCGCTGGTTGATGCAGTTCTCTCAACTTCAGAAATTTAAAAACAATTACACATTAAATCGGTAAATGGACCACATAGTGATGCTTAAAAGTATAATGTCCTCCCTTCAAAAGATCTTAAACGTACTTTTATTGAGCAACAGCAACAGAAAAGAGAACTTTGAACTTAATACTCTGAGCTCTGTGAGCGCTAACCTGGAATCTGCTGCTGCTGCAGTGCATGCTGGGACGGCTGTCAGTCTGGAGAACGGACAAGTCTGCTCTGATGCATGCTGGGTAACGAGGGAGGGGCAAGAACACCCTCCGGGGACTTTGTCCATTCTTGGTCTGCTGTTCTTGTGAATTGGAACAGTACTAGGACTGAGGGTGATGACGTTTCACAAGTACACGAGCACACGAGAAAGCACAATTAAGAAACGACTTTGGCAGTCTGTGGGTGGGGCTCGAACTCAAAACCTCAGGGATCCAAGCTCTATTCCCTAGGCCGCCACTCCCCCAAGTATTACAGAGTTAATTTAAAAGTCATGTTGAACAAAAATGTATTAATTTAAATTCTATCTTTGCATCTGGTTCTGCTGGAGGTTTCTTCCTGTTAAAAGGGAGTTTTTCCTCTCCACTGTCGCTACAAGCATGCTTAGTGTGAGGGATTGTATTTGAGTCAATGAGTCGATGCAATCAACTGGTTTTCCTTAGATAGAACACTTTGAATCAATCTGACTGTATGATCTGGTGAACTGGAAAGTGCCTTGAGATGACATTTGTTGTGAATTTGGTGCTATATAAATAAACTGAATTAAATTGAATCTCTTTATATGTTTGAGGTGAATTTAATTGGAGTCAATCCCTTACGAATTAACATTATTTGGGCTCATTTGTAAGATTTCTGCTGTGCTTTTATTGTAGTAGTTACTATCATTTTACACATTATTACATGGAAGGTTTCTCCAAAGCTAAGGAATCAAAAGGTATGCTGAAAGCATTCAACAAAAATATCATTATAAACAGGATAATTCATAGCAAAGGTTAAAAAAAGATCATTAAAATAAATATTTAGTTCCCTTAAGAATAATCATCTAGATAACTGATGTTTTCATGTTTCATTGCTCAGTCTTGCCAGTATCTCTAATATGATGTCATGCCTCCATCTAGTGGCCTTTATATGTACTGCACATTGTGACAATTTCAGTATTAAAAAAAGAATTTGACTTTTTGTCCCTCATAAAAAGCAGACAAAAAAAAAAAACTTTTAGTAAATGCAAATTAAATATAGTATGATAATTATATGTATTTATATAGAAACTCAAAGCATTTTTGTCACAACCAAAGTACCTGTGAGAGCTCTCTGCTTTGTCTCCATCAGTTCTGTAAGACGCTGAGGAAGATGCTGCTGAGTCGAGCTGTTGCCAAGGTTACAGCTGTGCTGGCTGCATCTCTGCTGATCTACCTGAGAGTTATGGACACCTGGTCCATCCTGCTGGCCGTGCTGCTGCCTTTCCTCATCTGGATGGCCTCCTGAATACATTCACTGACATTAAGCGTGATCAGGATCTTCAGAGAGTATTTAGTTCAACTGATACTACAAACTGGAGCTTATATAAACCTTGATTGATTTTTGATTGGGCCTAAGGATTTATCTTAAACAGAGAGAAAACACACACACAAAAAAAACTTTGATCCTTTGTTTATTTAAATTTGTTCTGCATGTATATGTTTGAACTAATTTCAGTTTGCCAGAACATTCTCAATAACCCTCTCCTTTGGATTGTTTTCACTTTGCTTATTACACAGATGCCCCTAAAAATTGAATAAAATATAAATGTATTAAGCTGTATTTGGAAAATTCTGTTAAAATAAGATTTGCACCTGATGGAATGTCTCCTCAAAAGCTTATTAATCAATCTTTCTCAAACACTTTCCTTTCAAAATAAAGCTACGATCAAAGAAGAAAAAATAAACATTATAAAACCTATTATTATTAACCTATTAACCTATAAATATTAACTTTATTAATCAGTCCCATGGTGTCATGCCTCTGCTATTTTATAACCTCTTTTTGAATTTCTATTTGTTTGAAAATATTTGAAAATGCAACTTTAGTATAACATTTTATCGATGTATTACTATTATAATTTAAGTTATTAACATTTTTTTTTATAAATTACTTTTACCAAATAATCACATGTATTGAAAAATAAAATGGTTTAATTTTAGACTGCTTTGGATTTAATTGATAATTAATTTATAACACTTTTTTTTCAATAAAAATATATTTTTAATAAATTGTGTGACACTTTTGTAACTTTTTTCCACATAATTAAGGGATCACTTTTATAGATTTCATAGTTTAAAGCTACGGTGTGTAACTTTTAGCGACATCTAGCGGTCAGACTGCAGACTGCAGCAACATGAACATCTCCCCCCCACCGCTTCTCCCCCCCAACAGTACGGCGAGCGTTACGGGACAAAATGTCTTCCACGACGTCCGCATCACCTACCTTCTCAAGTGATGAGGTTTGTTTACATAGATAATTTTACAGATAGTATTTCATTAGTCTGTGTAGGGTATAGATTTCATGTAGACTTAAGATAATAAATATACCCGTTATTTTTTCTACATCGTTGTGACATTTTGGCGATCTCGCAATCGCTAGTTTGTTGGCTCTGCGCTGCCGTAGCGCAAAGATGTCTGCCCCCATGGCTGCGAGACCCGCTCCTATGTAATTATAAATAACGAATTCTAAGGCAACGCAAATATTAAGGTTAAGAGGCTGAGCTCGTAGATGATGATAAAATAACATAGTTGTGTATAATATATTACATTTCTGACTGTATATCCCTGTAATTATTACACACTGTAGCTTTAAATGCGGAAAAACTCAGTAGTTAAGTTAATGTGAAATGTTATTTTTTTTTTAGTGTTTTATTTTTTTTTTCTGGCATCTCTACTAATTAATTATCTAACTGGTAACTTTCTGAAAAGTTTGATTTTATGTAATGTAATTTTATTTCTATTCTATTTTTAATATCAACTGCAGTCAAATTAGATATCAGAGCTGAAAACAAAATAAATTAATAAAAGGACCTGATTTAACCAAAAAAAAAAAAAGATGAAAAAAAGATTTTCTTATTTTTTTAAGTTGGTTGGATCGTGAAGATTTGTCTATTAAATATTTATCTGTTTTTTAGTTTTTAAGCTCTCCCGCCTCTTACGCTGAAGAACAAATCTGATTGGCTAAACATGCAGTAGACTGACGTCAGTCAGGGAAGCCCGCATCGTTGCTAGGCAACTTCTTTTCTTCTTTTCCCGGTGAAGTCAGGATCTAACATCGGAGCCCTCCTTTCCTCTCCAGACGGTTTTATTTACGTAAAGAGGACAGATTATTCACTAAGAAAGGAAAATGTCACTGGAATGGGGCGGTAAGAATTTTCTTTAAGAAGTTTACAAAATACTTCAAACATAATTTCACCCGCTTGTTAAACTAATCTTAGCGTAGCCTAACATTTTTCATGAGCGGAGCTACTAGCATGCTAGCTAACTTTAATTAGCCTTTTATCTTCATGCTAGCTAACTTTATTTTAGCTGATTATCGTCGCTTTGGCTTTTTAAAATGTCACTAATTTTAAGCTAACAAGTGCGTTAGCTAATTTGGTTGGTGATAATGGTTGTGATATAAACTTCCCAAGGTTTTAATTTAATCTTAGAAAATTAACAGTATAATTGATTAGCTTCATGTTTCTTTTTCTTTTAAAGAAACTTGATCAGTTCTAGTTTGGCCTTTAAAACCAATAAACTAGTTCAACCAGGACTGGGTTATAACTCACTATTACAGACAGAGAGCCTTTTTATATTAGTAAACAGCCAGTTTCTATATAAAACTACTTATTTCTGACTCTATGTTTTGTTAAAGTTAAGCTAAAAGTAATTTAAAGCCTTTTTTAGTTCTGCAAATTGATCAGTCTGCTGATTATTTTTTTATTTATTGATTAATTGATAGTAAAAATTCTATCAATAGTAGTAAAAGGTTCCTTAAAGGAGATCTTTTACGAAATTAAAGCAGGTGAACCTAAATTTTTTCTACTGGATCAGTTCTGGACGGAGTATCAGGGCCAGGCTAGAGATTTATTTTAATTCTATTTCGAGAATAGTAAGAAAGTAATTTCCCTGTGGGATTTTTAAAGTGTTTCTGATTCTCATTCTGAATAAAGTCAAAATTAGGAGAATAAAGTCGTAACATGTCGAAAATAAAATTGTAGCATTATGAGAATAAAGTCATAACATGAGAGTAAAGTCGTAACATTACCAGATATAAGTCGTAAATTTACAAGAATATAGTCATAACATTTCGAAAATAAAGTTGTAACATTATGAGAATAAAGTTGTAAAATTACGAGAATAAAGTTGTAAAACTGTGACAATAAAGAGAAAAAAGGCGCAACATGAATAGTCATAAAATTACAAGAATAAAGTCATAATATTAGGAGAATAAAGTCGTAAAAGTACGAGAAACAAGTTGTATTTTATGACAGCTCTTACAAGAAGCACTTTCTTGCAAAAGCTTTCTTTCTGAAACGGGTTGTCGTATGATGATTTTATTCTCATAATGTTACGACTTTATTCTCGAAATGGAAGAAAAAAAAATCTCTAGCTTGGCCCTAGTCAGATTTAGATTTCTTTTTTCATTTTGTTCTAATTCCTGCTCTAAGTGGGTCACTCTGTCAGCTAAAGATACGTTTTAGTATCTCTATACTCCAGTTAAAGATTAATCAATTACTAAATTAGTTGATTATTATTTTAAAAAACAATTAAACACAATTAATCCAATTCATTGTTTTAATCCAGGCCTTTTTCTCACCTGTTTGTGATCTCAGACAGTTTTAACCAGAAGCTGAACTGAAGTCTATTATTAGTCATCTAGTTAATTATGAAAGCATTTATTTTAATGACACTTGTGTCATTAATATAAATGTAAGATTATTTCATTGAAAGCCTTAAGTAATTTAGCTTTCATGTCTTCTTCTAGACGTCGGCTTCATGTTCACTATCATGCTTGTTTTTCATTCACAGACGGCGACAGGTCATCAGACGAGGGCGTAGACAGAGACTCGGCTGACGTGGACTCGCTGACAGATAAAGATGACTTCAGAGTGTCGTGTGCGAAGGAGATGGCTCTGCTAGCTCTGATGGAGAAGACGGGATACAACATGGTGCAGGAGAACGGGCAGAGGAAGTATGGCGGACCACCGCCAGGTACACCACAGCCCACAGAAACAGGAAATAACGCACCTCTTAGGCTCAGATATATGAAGTTAGATAGTTCCTGTATTTAAAGCTATTTGATTTCCACCACATTGGCTCATTTTAATCCCAAAGCAAATAGAGATTGTATTGGGATTAGGACTGAAAGTAATGACTATGTTTCTAATGAATAATTTTTTTGATAAACTGAAAGGTTCTTAAAGATCTGATACAGAATTTAAATCAGGTGAAGCTAAAACTTCGCCACTCTAGTTCTAGATAAAACATTTGGACGAACACAGAAGGTCTCTTCAGTGGAAAGTGTTTATATATTGTTTAAAGTTTGATAGAATAACCAAGGTTATTGTTAGCTACAACTATTGAAATAACAAAAACTGACATATTAATGTATAAATTTACGTTTAAAGAAAAACAAAAAAGAAATTGTAACAAGGATTAACAAAAAATTGAAAACGAATTGAATTTTAGCAGAATGCGTTTACTTTTCCTTTGTGTCTTTGTTATAATGCACTAACATGAGGTCTAGTTTCCTGCTGCTGTTTTTGCTTCTTATCTGCTGTACTACATTACGCCAACAGATGGCAGTATGGCAGTCCTCTCTGTCCTTATCTGGGATTTTATTTCTATTATCTTTATTGTTTTTTTAGTCTTGAGCCCCGTATGTGCATCATATTACCTAAAAAAAACAAGAACTAGAACTAAACCTAATTTTCAAAAATTAGAAACGAATCTAGCTTTCAAACACTAAAAACAAAATAAACTTAAACTATAATAGAAAGTCAAAACTAAGCACAAATAAAAAGTAACGAGTTTTTAAACTATTTGAATAATAGTTGCAGCTATGGCTGAAACTGTTAATCCGATTAATGGTGATTAATTGATTATTGAAATAATCATCAATTAATTGATTAATCATTAACTGGAGTATATAGAGTCAGAGCGACCCACTTAGAGCAGCAATTATAGCAAAAAAATATAGAAACATTTTGCATTTAGGATAAAAAAAAAAATCTTTTTCATCCGTCAATATGCTCCAGAACTGTGGAAAGGTTTCACCCGGTTTCATTTTGTAAAAAGTCTTCTTTAAATAACCTTTGGCTATCTGTTATTAATCTAAAGAATAATCAACAGATTAATCGTTTTAGCTGTTTATATTAAACCCTTTATTTCATTCTTTCCCTGATTTTACTCTCATTTAGTTTGCAGTTTTAGCCAATTTTGAAACTTTATAAATCATATGTCTTCAGTCTACAATTCTACTGAAGCATTTTAAATAACATAAACTGCAACTAATAATGATTTTGTAAAACGATTAATCTGTCACAGAGAGCTTTTAAACTTAATTATATTTGTGAAAAGGGATTTTGACTCTATTGCTTGAGAAAATTAAGCTAAAACTGACTTAAAGCCTTTTTTAAGTTTACAAATAACAATTATTCTGCAAATTGATTAATCAATATTAACCCAAAAACACTTCTTCTTTTTATCTTAAATGAAAAACATTTATATATTTTTTACAATCTTGGTATAATTGCTGCTCTAAGTGCTGCTCTGCCAGCTAAAGGCTTAGTAGAGTCTCTTTACTCCAGTTAATAATTAATTGATTACTGCTTTAGTTAACGATTATTTCAATAATTGATTAATCCGATTAATTGTTTAAAGCTCCTAATATGTGAATAAGTGATGTTAATATTCCTTCCTTTAGCATGTTTGTTGAATAATAACAGGTTTATATATATTTAAATGTCTGAAACCAAACATCAGGAAGTGAGGATTTCCTTGTTTTAGAATAGAAGGTTATATTTTCCTCCCGCTCAGTCGTCCAGGTTTCTTCCTAAATGTTAAAAGTTCTGGGTGCCTGGTTCTGTGGCTCAGGTTGGGAAGGTCCGGCTCCTCCACGGGGCTGCGAGGTCTTCGTGGGGAAGATTCCCAGAGACATGTTCGAAGACGAGCTGGTGCCGCTGTTCGAGAAGGCCGGGAGGATCTACGAGTTCCGGCTGATGATGGAGTTCAGCGGGGAGAACCGCGGCTACGCCTTCGTCATGTACACCAACAGGTGAGGCGCCGGGCGACATCGCTGCGGCCCGGTGGGAGGCAGCAGACTAACGATCGCTGTGGTTGGCTTCCGGTCCAGAGGAGCGGCTCAGAGAGCAATCCGGATGCTGGACAACTGCGAGGTTCGACCGGGGAAGTTCATCGGAGTCTGCGTGAGTCTGGACAACTGCCGCCTCTTCATCGGCTCCATCCCCAAAGACAAGAAGAAGGAGGAGATCATGGAGGAGATGAAGAAGGTGGGTAGAGAGTTTAAAAGTCTGAGGAACAGAACAAAGCCGCCTCCGTGTCTGACGAAGGCCGTGCTTCCAGGTGACCGACGGCGTGGTGGACGTCATCGTCTACCCAAACTTCGCGGAGAAGAGCCATAACCGAGGCTACGCCTTCGTGGAGTACGGGTCCCACAAAGCAGCCGCCATGGCAAGGAGGATGCTCATGCCCGGTACGTCACCTGCTCACTTCCTGCTCCGCCCTGACCCGGGGTCTGTTCCTGTCTGTGTCCAGCAGAGGGAGGCAGAGCTCAGCCTGTGCCTCTACATTTATGAAGGTTATTGGTGCATTATTGTGTGAATACGAAGATGTAGAGAGAGTTACATTCTAAGTTTCGCAGTAAGCAAATACGGCATACGTGAGTTTGGTCCTTGGAGGCAGCATGGCAGAAGGACATGTATGTATTTCCGGTGGTACAGACTGACTGAGAAGCAGCTCCCCCTGCTGTCCGATCAAGGGTACAGTCACAGATCATTGACCGTTGTGACATTTGTGTCATGAGTAAAAATGTATGGAGGACCAACTATGCCATATTTAAAAATAAACACATAAATAAAAAATAAAATAAAAAAATTATAATAATAATAATTAGGGATGCACGATATAATCGGCCCCCTATCGGTATCGGCCTTAAAACTGAATATCGGACATCGGCCACCCCACCGATATTTAACCCGATATTTGATCGGCTTCTGAGTTTCTAAAGACAAAAAAAAAAAAAAATACTACTACTTCTTCTTCTTCCTCAAAAACTTCTTTTTTACAGACTTAAAAACTTCTAAAGATGAGGGAAAAAATATTGATCCATTAAAATATCACAATGTCTTCATATGCTGATATATTGCCATTTAAAAACACCATATCAATCTCTTTTACTAATGAAATATTGCTATATGTCATCGTTATGCTACGAAATCCCCCGAAAATTCATGAAATTTTGCCATATTTTTATATGTTGATATATTGACGCGGTATCGATCTATTTTACTAAAAAAATCTCACAAGAACTTGCAAAATATCACGAGAGTTTGTAACAGAACGATGAAATTTCACGAGATTTTGAAAGTAAAATAGATCGATACCGCGATTTTAAAAATCAATTTGATATCAGCATATGAAAATATATTTGAGTATATTATTTTTCAAAGTGTCAGAAATGGATAACAAAACTGCTATTTTCAATGACTACTTATTTTTGTCCAGCTTTAACATCGGTATCGATATCGGTTATCGGCTACATGAGTTTTAAAATATCGGCATATCGGCCAAAATCCCAATATCGTGCATCCCTAATAATAATAATAAATAAATGAGCATACAATTAACCATTGAGACATAAATGTATTCATCTCTTTTAATTAGCTTCTTTATTTATTCGCCTTTGTAATAATTGCCTTATTTATTTATTTTCCCTTATAATCTTGAACTTAATTTATTTATTACTTATATTTTTAAGTATTTATTTATGTGCATGTTATAATACTTTTTGTCTGTTTTATTCTTCCTTTGTGTTTTTTTAACTTATTTATTTCTGCAACACTATTTATTACTGCCTGTTGTTTACATTTCTGTGTTATAAGTGAGTTGGTTCTAATCATCAGAAATATTTAAAGGATCATTTATCAGTGCGTTCATATAGGTTGTAGGTGCATCACACTGAAATCTTAGCCCGTACGGCCGATTAGTGTCGTAATTAACAAATTAGCAAATAAAGATAAGCAAGATCAGTTCCGTTAACATTATAACATCACCACACTGTTACATTGCTGGTACTGAAAAAGGCTTTTTATCATACTGCAAATTTACAGGTCAGACATTAGATCTTTTTTAATTCATTTAAATAATTGTTATCAATGCTATTATGATGGAAAAAGTTGATTTATTTCAGGGGACATTAGGATACCCATTAATTTGTAGTTCTGATATTATCCAGCAGATGCCGCCATTCTAAATATGGTGATGAGTTTTAGGCAATGGCGTCAAATTGGTTATTTGGGCTTCGAAATTCCCATCGCTAGACTGACAGCAGGTCCTGTATGTCCAATGAGAGTCTATAGCAGGACTAGAGCTGCTATAAGATGCTGCTGGTTTCTAGGGGTGGGTATTGCCAAAGAAGTCACGATTCGATTCGAATCACGATTCACAGACCACGATGCGATTCTATCACGATGCATCACGATACTTGAATTATTGCGATGCATTGCAATATTTTCTCCTCCATGTTTTGTTTTTGAATGAGTCTGCACAGTATCCCGCGGCCGGAAATGCTTGTGACACAAGGCAGCGTGCGTCAACACATTTGCAGCGACATCTACTGGACTGGAAGTTGTATTACACTTGTTTTTGGCTGATGTTCGCCAACCATTCATGCAATTTTATTTATTCATTTTTTAAAATTAATAATCGATACTTGGCGTCAAGAATCGATGCAGTAGATCATGAAAATTAGAATCACGATGCATCATCATGACGATTATTTTGCACACCCCTACTGGTTTCCTCCCTCTGCTGATGGGGTTCTGGTTCTGCCCGGCAGGAACCTTCCAGCTGTGGGGTCAGTCCATCCAGGTGGACTGGGCCGAGCCGGAGAAGGACGTGGACGAGGAGGTGATGCAGCGCGTCCGAGTCCTCTACGTACGTACCTTCACTTTTAACACACACACGGCACTAAGCCCGACTCAGCCTGCTCAGAAACCCCAAGTTCAGCAGCGGAGCTCCACAGCGCCGCCCTGCAGGCGGAGCTCAACTGCTTTCTGATCAAAGAGGAGAAGCTAATGTGGATCAGAAATAACCTGCCCTCTGTGTGAACGATTCCAAGATGGAGGGGATGGAGTCAGGAGAGAACAGTCGGTGTTTCCTCAACAAAGAGGAAGAGATTATCCCTTTAATCTGAGAGCTGACTCAGATTAGGACATTTTTCTGCCATTTACAGCTTATTAAAGCGACCGAGGCAGGAGAAGAAGAGAAAAGCTGTCAGGGAGTTTATCCTCTTCTTCTGCTCTGTCAGACTTCCTTTGTTCCCTTTTTGTTCAGATCAGATTTCCTCAGATTTTCAGCTCTCATTCTGCTGCTGCAGCATTTTCTGTTCATGGAAACAGACTTTAAAGCCAGACGGCGATAATTAGCAGGTAGATGACATCATCAAGCCACCAGCAGTCATTTTAATCCTGTATTAGGCACACCAGGCCTTCAGAACGACGTCGGACTATAAGGACTTAGGAGATGTTTCTGCTGCTTGGCTGATCATCCTGAACATCACGTTATTCACTGCTTGTTGTGGTTCCTCTGAGCTGCTTATATTGTCAGCCTGGAATTATGACCCGACAAGACAGTGAATTTAATAAAAACAAAGTTTTTTAATTTATTCGGTTTTGTCTAATCCACACAGAGGCGGGGTCGTTGATAAAGGCTTAGAAAATGTGATTGTACGCCTGCGTTCTGCCAAGTCTGCCAAGTGTTCTAGGAAGTGTTCGAGCCGCTGTCCATAGAGCTCAGTGTTTCTCTGTGCATCAGGAGAAGGATTTGTTTGGCAGAGCTGATTGGTTGAACCCAGATTTCCAGCTACTGGAGATTATCAGGTTATTCTGTAGTATGTTTCCGTACTTCTGACACCCTCATAGGTCAGAGGACTGGCTTTTCACTACCAGGACCTGGAGGTTATGAATATGTGATTGCTCCCATACAGAGGATTTAATTAGACAGTGGAGGACCAGGCTCAACTGACCACTAGGTGGCAGCAAAGTGCTTCCAGTAGAATCCTTGGTACAGTAGTGGCAGAAAGAGGATAAAAATGTTGCTTTGGGTGCAGGGCAGTTTGCTGCAGCAGTGGATAAAGATCCAGCTGTTTGATCACAATGATGTAAAGTGGTGGCAGCATCATGCTGTGGGCCTGATTAGCCGTGGTGGTTATAATGCTTCCTAATTATGGTTTTAATTATAAGGATGGAGGAGCGTTTTTTTTTACCAAAAGACCACCAGCAGACTTTGGATCTGGTTTATTTGGATGGAGAAAGTTTTTGAAACCGACAAGATTTAGGATTCAAATCTGATTTAAGGGGAATCAAACAAATCTGCCAGAATCCCGTTGGTGATCATAACAAGCGGGTTGACAAGATGCAACAGAGTGTGTCGCCATGGAAACATGATCAGATGATTTGTCCAATAGAATGTTCTAAGATTGCATTTAGTTCTGATCCAGAACATGGCATTCTGGGGGATGTAGGCAGAGGAAAAGCAGAGGATAAGCTAAGCAGGATGGATGGAGGGACTGAGCTCATTTCAGAGGTTTAAGGTCATTTCAAATAGATAAAACAAAAAGCTAATCAATTATTATCGATATTGGCTGATATGAAAGGCACAGCCGTAGGAGTATGAATACATTTGTGCCTGTATGGATTAAAGGAAAGGTTTCTGGTTTCATCTAAGTGATTTTATTTATGATCATTCCAACCCAGATCCTTTATTCCACAGATAGTATTGATCATGATGGTTAAACTGCTCCTCAAAGCTGAGCTGGATTTGGTTGGTTTACAACAAGCGAAGCTGCTGAGCAATGACGCATCATAGCAACAAGCACTCACTCACTGACACATCAAATTGTTGATATGGTAGGGTGACCAGACGTCCTCTTTTCCCCAGACATTTCCTACTTTTTATACCTAAAATAATGTCCAGAGGGAATTTCCAAATCGTCCAGGATTTTGGTCGACTACAGTTCAGCACGTAGCGGTAGGCCTTACCGGCCCCCCCTCCTCCGGCTGAGGACCGCTCATTGCTCTCTGCTGAGGTCCGGTCCAGTCAGCGGCCCTACCCCCCCTCCCTTGGGCCAGTGAACCAGTGGGCTGGTCTGTATGTCAGATTCAGGGCGTGACAAAAGTACAGGCCAGAACCAAATAAGGCAACATCGCAGAGATTACGTCAACTTAGGGCTTCGTTTATGATTCGCCTGTTTCATGGTGGAAGTTTAGAAGTGTGAAATTTGCAGAGAAATTTGCAGAGAAATTTGAACTTCTCAGTACGTCCATTTCACCAACTGAACTGTTGTTATTCATCTATGACAATGGAAACTCGGTTTTGCATTCTGTGAGCCCTTTGAGGCTGATTTATGCTCAGAAATCAGGTGATCTGTGTGTGTGTCGCAGTGAATGCAGATATGCAGACACTCAGGTGCAACCCTCCAAAAATGTAGGTGACCGCAGACAGTGCCGGAGACAGGAGGCCTCTGATTGGTCAAATCTATATCCGCTCTACATTATGTGTATTTCCTGTTTAGTACCTTACCAGCTTGTTTCTTTTGTATGACCGCCATTGGTTAGAAGAGCGAGGTGCGCAAGAACGCTTGGGACCCTTTTTCCACCTGGATCCCCGCTCTTTTTGGCCCTCATGTTTCTCCGTTGTTGTTCAAACTTTCCCCCACTTCCTCACCGCCTCGGCCGTATCTAGACCCACAGCTACTTCCTGATTTTGTCCCTCTTCCATTGTGCCTTGGAATAACATAGGGCAGACCACGCTTTTTATTGGGCATAAATCAAAAATATCTGCGACAAGTTCACTGCGACACACTGCTGTGAGAGGATAATAAGCCCTTAACGCTTCGCAGGTAGACGACTCGCTGCTGTTTCTGCTGTTTGAGGAGGGAAACACTCAGAGCCTGACTCATGTCTCTGCTGTTACACTTCCTCTGCTTTATGAACGCTGCTTGTTGGGTTTACACCCATTTGAAGGGGAATTTAGTTCCTTTATTGTTAAAAGCAAACTAGATGTTTTATAAATTGGAAAAAAAAGAGGAACCAATATGTTTTCATATTTTAAATATATATTTTTATTTTTTTACAGATTTTATATTTCACCATTTTTCCCCCCAAATTTGGGTTTTTAAGATATAGAAAAAAAGCTTATCAATTAAAAAAAAATGCATCCTGATCGATATCGATAATTATTGAAAAAATTTGAAACCATATTTTATGTGCAGCTCTGCCTGGACTTTTTATGATATTGCTAAATGATTTAATTTTAATAAAGAACACAAACACAGACTTCTAATTAAATATTTATTTAACCAACTTTTTTAACCATAACAGAATTGTTTTAAAGAAAAATATGTTAAGAGACCTGAGTTATGTTATTAAATACTGACAAAGAATAAACTAAAGTGACCAGAAAGTGATCAATTTTCATTGGTCAATGTTGTCATCAAGAGGAAGCCTCTGTATTGGGCTCCAATTTAAAACAATGTGATCTATTTAAATCAAGAAAACAAATGCTAATTAGTCAAAATCTATAAAATAAAAAACAGAAATTTGAAAAAAAATATTGCATTTGAAAATGTTAAATCTCTATAAAAAAATATGAAAAAATAAAATCTATAAAAAGTTTTGCTAAAAAAGAATTAAATAAAAAAAGATAACAGAAGAGAACATGAGAGTTACTCTCAATACCTTTTTGATTAAGATGTTTTAATTGCACTTTTTCTATTTTATTTCAATATACAAAACATTTTCTTTAGGTGCGAGAATAATGGAAGAAAGTTCCCTCCGTACAGCCAACTGTTCGCTCTCCTCCTGCAGGTGCGTAACCTGATGATGGAAACCACAGAGGAAACCCTCTACAAGGAATTCTCCAGCTTCAAACCGGGCTGCGTGGAGCGGGTCAAGAAGCTGACCGACTTCGCCTTCATCCACTACCGCAGCCGCAGCGACGCCATCACCGCCATGGGCCTCATGAACCGCAGGCAGATCGACGGGGCCACCGTGGAGGTGACCCTGGCCAAGCCGACGGGGAGCAAAGACGGGAGGAGGTCCGGCAACAGAGGGTACCTGGGGAACATGGCCGCCGGGGCGGGGGATAGAAGGCTGTCATTCAGAAACACGCCCCTGCAGACCAGCCTCGGAAACCCCTATTACACCAAAGGAGGTGAGGAAGACGTTTTTCTGTTAGCCTGGATGGTTCAAGCTTATAAAAGACGCTGAGATGGATTAAGAAAGCACACGGGTTTGGTGACATCTTGTCTGCAAACAAGAGCTCAATCATTTCTAAACAGTTATGGTTTGATGTTTAAGTGTTTGTTCATTTCCTTCTGGATGTTTCAGCTCTTTTTGGCAGAAAAAATATAAAACTGGTTGGTTTTCTAGCTTTGAATGGATCCAGCAGCTGAAGCTCTGCCTGCTGGGTTTGATCCAAAGTTTGAAACTCATGTGATGCAAAAAATGAACCTCTTTGAGGTCTTTCTTATTCCAATATCTTACTGCAGTGGCCATTTTATCTTAAGAGCAGTTTTTAAAGCTCTGACTGAAGGTCCACAAACCGAGAGGTTTGTTATATAGATGTACGAACCGAGGATCTGATAATCACTAGCATCTAACGAATGCCGATGTCACACCCTGACGATTTAGACCAGCATATGCCTGATGTAGGTAAAATCTGTGAAAAACGCTGGCATATGTTAAATAAGTTATGTGTACATTTTGTATAAGTTATGAGCACGCAGAAACATGCTGAAACACGTTGAGATATGGCAAGATCCAAAACCTGAGTAATGAGCTGGTGAAGATTCTCAGTCATCCAGGTCATAGTCATTCCTAAAAAAGATTAAAAAAAACAATCCACTGGACTTTGGTTTGGAGGAAATTCGTTTGAGGACCAGAATGTTCACATTTTGGACAAAGAAAGCAGGTGGTTTGACAGAGGTGTGAAGGAAGCCATCAATGCTAAGAAAGAAAAAACAACCTTAAACAGAGGGGTTGGACTCAGATCTCAGCTTTCAAATAACTACAAATACAGCAATAAAGTTGATCCATTCCGGTTATCATCGCAGCCCCAACACCTTTACAGGGGAATAGAAGACCTCGCCTAGTCAGCCAGGCCAAGAATTCCCTTTAACGACGCCCTTTTAGAGACATGGACAGGTTTCAGGCATTGCAGGATAACAAAAGAAGCCAAACGGGGAGGACCCGTTCATCTGTTTGAGTTTGCATGTTTTCTAAACAAAAAAACAAGGCCTTGTTGGGCTATTGTATAAAACCTCAACCTATTCCTGACATTTTGAATTTAAAAAGCTTCCTGGATGGGAAGCAAAACATCTTTAAACTTGGAAATAAAGTCCAGTGGACTGTTTTTTTTTTTTTTTACTTTTTTTGGAATAACTATGAGTAACTTGTGAGTAACTTATCAAGTTATGTATATCGACGTATCTGACGTGTTCCAGTTGACCGCTCAGCGTGTTTCTAGCTTCAAGCTAATGTTAATGGTCTATTGGCATCGTTTTGCTCTAAAAAGGGGGTTCACAGGAGAAACTGTCAATTCTCCTCCAGACTTCATCTCCATCATAGGCGTAGCCAGAAGGTGAGTGTGATGGATCCTCCCTGCTTTCACGATCACCACCAACAATCTACCTAGCAGACATGATGCTGAATCTGTTGCAACTGCAAACCTTCTTTCTTTCTTTTTCTATTTTCTTTTTATTTCTTCTTCTTCCTATTTTTTTTTTGGTGGACGATAAACAGCAGCTAGGTTAATATCTTTTTATGCAGGCCGAGCACATTGCTGCCCCCCTCAGGAAACTGGCTTATGATATTTTACGAGCACTAAGCTGCGCTGTGTTATGCATAAATTAGGCTGTCGTTGGACATAAGTTCTGGACTAGTTAAGAATGCGCTATGTATTGTTGAAAAAATGCATAGAAGGTTTGGCGTATGCCAGCGATTTAGAACGGGACGTCTGGCATACGCCGGCTAAATCAGGAAGGCGTGACAGGGGCCTAAAGGCCTTTTTTTAAAAAAAAGGGAAACCGGTTCAAACAAGGAAACAGGTGAGTTTTGTTTCATTATTATGAGCTAAAAAACATGTTCTAATTTTTTTTTTTCATTGAATTAGAAAAAACTGCAATTTAGAAATTAGACTGGTTGAAAAATATTTCAATAAAAAAGTTTTTTTTAGAGTAGCTTTGCTATTTTATTAGATTTTGTTTTTCACTTTTTCACAGTTTTTGTTTTCTTTTTACAGATTTGATATTTTCAAATTTTATTTTTCCAAAAAATAACATATTTATATATATATTTATATTTCAGATTGAGTTTTATGAAGTACCTACTTTTTTATTACTGCATTTTTCCAGATCACGTTGTCTTCCCCTCTGGGGGCGGGCTTTCCTCTGAAGGGAGGAGCAAAGACAGTTTATTGGCAAAAGAACTTTTCATGATTGTGCACTTTAAGAGTTAACGTTTGTTTTGGGCTGGAAGTGAAGAGAATGTCGAATAGAATGCCCTCAGATCAATTTGTAAAATACAAATTTGAGAAGGACAATTAAATTTGAAAATACAAAATCTTTTTGTAAAGTAAGTGTTTCATTTCTGGGTTGCAGTTTTTCAAATTTCAGTCAAAAAAAATATTGCCCCCAACAATAATGCAACAAAACTCCCTCCACATTTGGCAGCAATAATCGGGGAAATATTGACAAAAGAGGCTGATCCTCAAATACAGCAATGATAACCAGAAGAAGCAAACCACTGCTGGGTTCACCACTGGTTCCTGGTTGCACCTTTCCTGGTTCCTTAATCAAAGTTATCTTCAATTATTCTTTTAAAAAGCTTCATTTTTATGTGGAGAAGAGATTTTATCTTTGCTCAAACATTTAGGAAAAGTTCATCCACTAAGATCCCCAGCTTTTTGTCAGTGAGCCTCATGTTATCAGCCTGGACAGGCGGACAGTGGCTGTTCCCCTCATGAGGAGGGCAGTCATGCTCTCTGCTGCTTCTCTTATATTAAAATCTCTCTGCTCCTCCAAAGAACTCAAACAGCCACTTTGTCTCTGTGGTTTCCAAGGGGAAAGGTTGCAAACAACAGCCTCTCTCATCTGCTGAAAAACACTCCATATTAATACAGCTCCTTCCATTTCCATCACGCCTGCACATATTTCCTGTAAATAGCACAAAAGTTTGGATGGACCTTTGCCACAATGGGGCCGTAAAATATTCAGAGGAGGATGTGAGTGTAGCACAGAAGGAGAGATGAAGTAGAGAAGGCTGATTAAGGAAAGGAACCAGTCAAACAAAAGCCTCCTTTTTCTATTAACTGTAGTTTGCTTGACGGTAGAGAGGAATCAATATATTTCCATACAGAATGCAAAACATGTTTTCATTGTTTAGAAAGATGGGAGCGTCAAGGAGCATATCTATACCATCATCAACAGTAAGCCTGTTTACATCCTGCAGCATTTTAAGCCCAAATTCAGGAAGTAAATATCCATTCGGGCAGAGTTTGACGTCTTGCCTTCTTTCATGAACTTCTCTGCTTAAGCTTCCACCAAGTGGAAAACCAAGGCCTAAGATCGCAGGCGGACAACATTATCCCCACCGCTCCACACTCAGCCGGGACTCCTGAAAACATGACGTATCGTCCTGAAGCTCCAAACAGACACTTTCTTCTCCAATGTGCAGTCACAGCACATTACAGCAGGAAACTAATGGAAAAATACAACATTTATCAACAATAAGCCAACTCATTCACTCATACAAAGAAAATAACAAAAAAAACAATCATTCCTGCCCCCATAAGCCTTAGATTGAGTTTGTTTCTGATTAAAAATGACATCAGAAAGATGAAATAATTTATACTTTTCTCAGTAATAAATAGAAAACAATTCAGAAGCCTGCTGATATTTTGACCAATTAAAGTTTTCCAATAAGCTATTTATTCTTATTCTATTCAGAAATGTTAAAAGACTTCCAGTCAAAACAGACATTAAATCCTAAAATGAAAGAAACAGGAAAATAGGTACTGGACAGACAAGAAAAAGCTAGAAAGACTGTTTAATATCATGAATCCAAGATAATCCATTAAGTTTCATTTGCACCATCACAGATCAGCCACAATCAGGTTCCTCTAACCAGATTTCTGACCAAAGACTCTTTAGAGGAGCTGTCCAACAGCTAAGGCAGATTAACAGAGATCTGCAACTTAAACACCATGGCCCCTTGCTGCTTAGAACCATTTGAAGATGGCAACAGAACATTAGACAAGCCAGTAACATACTGGGATAATCAAGTTTGGTTGTGAGGAAACTATCTGGACGTTTTTGCACACGCCCAGGTCAAAACAATGACTCCAAACAAAAAGCCTTTGCAGGTTTCTTCAGACAGGAATCATTACCATAAAAGGCTTTTCCTTCCATTCCTTAGTAATAAACCCACTGTATTTTTATTCCACTTTCTTAGTTTAGGAACTTCACTGATTACCCTGATATTGAGTATCATTAGCTCTCCTGAGCTGTCATTATACCTCGCTTTACACCTACTTGAACTTGTGACTGTGTGATCAGGTGGGTCCTCTTCAACCCTCCATTTATGTCCTTAGTGAAACTTTCAGTGGTTTTGACTTGAATTAGCACCAAAGCAGTGTAACAGTGTTGGAGTTAAGAAAGTTCCACAGACATCTGTGAGTTGCTAAAGTACAGGTACCTTGTTTGTCCTTATGTGGGGTAAACGCTGTAGAGAAGGATTGAAATTTAAAGTCGTAGGGAAATCATATTTAAATGTGAAATCATTCCGGCTTTAACCTGTATATAAATGTACTCTTTATCAGATCATATTGTAATTTAGAAAATTTTTATATAAAAAAAAAAATCCTCTCTTAAAATCTTTTTTTTTTTTTTTTAATCTTATGCAAGCCAGTTAATTGTACATCAACCTAAATTCGGCCAATCATAAATCAACGGTCATTAGCCAATCAAATTTTTTTGGTCATAGCATCTTCATATGTCGCAGCTAATATACGGAACGGTTGAAATAAGAATAATTTACTTTACCATTGAGTCCCGTCCCAGTGTTCACGGGGATGGACGTCTGTGTCTTCAGCAGGCGTAGAGCTAACAGAACTGGCAGCGTTGCGAGGCAAGGGCTCAAACATGTACGGCTGGAAGCCTTCTACACCAAACCAAGCTTCTGCCGCTCTGGCGTCCTCTTACACATCAACTTTGTCCGCGATTTCCTCCTCTAAACAAAAAATATATGACGGAGGAGACTCATCCACGACCTCCGACACAAAACTCTCCTCCTCTTGCATGTTTCCTCTGTCCATAGCGTTCCTTGACAGAGTCGTTTCTAAGTCACCAATTTAGTGCTACTTGGTCCCAATGGAATTTCCCATTGGGAACCTACTAGCACTAAGTTGCTAACTGGTTAGCAAGATGATTCTGATAAACCGGCCACAACCAAACTTGCTTGCAAACCTTCCGCTACAATAATCCCTCCCCCTTGATATACGACCAATCACATTCACTTTCTTCACGCATGTTAAGTCGTGAACCAATGGGAAGAATTCCGAAATGCAACGGTTTGGATGACAATTTCGCTACGACTTTAAAGAAGTGCATATGACAGAGGAAGAGGCCAACTGAAGGAAAGAGCAGCTTCTTATTTCCATTAGATGAGTAAAAGTGAAGTGGTATCGTGTTTATGAATCGGTTATCACATTAATGACTGTGATTAACAGGAAATAAACATCATTATCTCTGCTTCATTGTCTGTGTTTCCTCCTCTGCTGCTAATGTTGTCCTCCTTCAGTTCATTTCTATTATCATTCCCCGTGGCTGCTGCTCCAGTTCAGCAGATTTCCAGGCCTCCGTCTCCTGGATAAACTCCATTTTTCCTGCTGAAGAACTTCAGCACCCAGGCTGTTTTCCTGTGAAAGGAAACCGCTTGGAGGGCTTTAAATTAGGTTTACAAAAAGAAAGCCTCTTCTTGTTTATTTTGCCCAGATTATTCTGCCTGACTTCAGCACTAAGTAGATGAAGTGTCATCGTACATCATTAGGGTCTAAACAGTCAACTCTAGAAGCAAGTATTATATAAAGCAGGGACTTGATAAAGAAATATGACTTGAAGAATAAGAGGCTGATTGTTGTACCAAAAAGACTCAGATATATATCAGAGAATATAGCTAGCTCTATATATCCCATTAAACATTAATTCAATAATGCATATCTAACCTTGTGCCACTTGGGCTATTCTGTCAGTTTGTTGTAGCCCTTCCATCTTTTGGCATGTTAGTTAGTCTTCTTTATCAATCATCTTTTAATTGATTGCTTTGGTTGGTTGTGGGGACACTCATCTCATTGTTTGAACTTTCACTCAGCTTGTCAGATGGATGCCTAAATGTTTGATTTGCTGGCTGTTTGTTGGTTGGTAGTTTGTCAGCCCTTTCTCAGTTGGCTCGTTGGTTGTCAGCCTTTCGTTGGTTGGTTGGTTGGTTGTTTGTCAGCCCTTTCTCAGTTGGTTCGTTAGTTGTCAGCCTTTTGTTGGTTGGTTGGTTGGTTGGTTGTTTGTCAGCCCTTTCTCAGTTGGTTCGTTAGTTGTCAGCCTTTTGCTGGTTGGTTGGTTGGTTAGTTTTTAGCCTTTTGTTGGTTGGTTGGTTTGTTTTTAGCCTTTTGTTTGTTGGTTGTTGGTTAGTTATCAGCCCTTGGTTGGTTGGTTGGTTAGTTTGTTGGTTGGTTGTTTCTCAGACCTTTGTTGATTAATTGTTTGTCAGTGCTTTGTTGGTTGGTTGTCATCCCTTTGTTGGTTGGTTGGTTAGCTGCCAGACCTTTTGTTGGTTGGTTGGTTGGTTGGTCAGTTGTCAGCCCTTGGTTGGTTGGTTGGTTGGTTATCATCCCTTTGTTGGTTGGTTGGTTGGTCAGTTGTCAGCCCTTGGTTGGTTGGTTGGTTGGTTATCATCCCTTTGTTGGTTGGTTGGTTGGTTGGTCAGTTGTCAGCCCTTGGTTGGTTGGTTGGTTGGTTATCATCCGTTGGTTGGTTGGTTGGTCAGTTGTCAGCCCTTGGTTGGTTGGTTGGTTTGTTATCATCCCTTTGTTGGTTGGTTGGTTGGTTGGTTCGTTATCATCCATTTGTTGGTTGGTTGGTTGGTTGGTTGGTCAGTTGTCAGCCCTTGGTTGGTTGGTTGGTTGGTTCGTTATCATCCCTTGGTTGGTTGGTTGGTTGTTCAGTTGTCAGCCCTTGGTTGGTTGGTTGGTTGGTTATCATCCGTTGGTTGGTTGGTTGGTTGGTTGGTTGGTTGTTCAGTTGTCAGCCCTTGGTTGGTTGGTTGGTTCGTTATCATCCCTTAGTTGGTTGGTTGGTTGGTTGGTTGGTTATCATCCGTTGGTTGGTTGGTTGGTCAGTTGTCAGCCCTTGGTTGGTTGGTTGGTTTGTTATCATCCCTTTGTTGGTTGGTTGGTTGGTTGGTTGGTTCGTTATCATCCATTTGTTGGTTGGTTGGTTGGTTGGTTGGTTGGTCGGTCAGTTGTCAGCCCTTGGTTGGTTGGTTGGTTGGTTCGTTATCATCCCTTGGTTGGTTGGTTGGTTGGTTGGTTGTTCAGTTGTCAGCCCTTGGTTGGTTGGTTGGTTGGTTAGTTGCCAGCCCTTTGTTGGTTGTTGTGTTAGTTGGCTATAAGCCTTTTACTGGGTTATTTGGGTTATGTTTTGGCCTGACCTTGCAGGCTGCTTTTAGTTTATCTTATGGTTAGTCTGATCTGTTGACTGATCTTTCAGTTTATACGGACTCATCTTTTGGTTGTGGTTTGTTTCTTGTATTTGATGGTAGTTGGTGAGTTTTTGGACATTTGTTCAATCAGACACCCAGTCTGACGATTGTTTAGTTGGTTGGTTGATTTTCAGGCATTTATAAACATTTAGATGTTTATAAAGCAGATGTCTGAATCCCTTTGAGTATTTAACTGAAACACAGAAATCCATGAAATTACTGGAATGTGGGGTTTAAAAAGCTCATCCAAGACGTCTGATCAGTTACCAGGCAAAGCAGACAGTGGTAAATGTAGCCTCCAGCAAGAAGCCAAGACAGCCTAGAATGGAGAGGCTAAATGTATTTAGTTTAAACAGAAAGTTGATCTGAGATCCAGCTGGATGGTACATTTACTACAGAAGCTGATTCAGGTTTGAATACTCCCACTCAGACAGCTTTATTTTGAAGCCCTCGGCACTACACAGCTCATAAAACCAAACATAAACAAACAACATGGCTGCCTGGGAGAAAGAGTGGTTGCTACATCAACTCTAAACAGTGACTGTGAGATGAGTTATTCCACGTTGGTTTGTCCCACAGATGAACCCTCAGCGGTGTCTCTGCTCCTCCATAGGGACTAATATCAAAGCAACACGTATGTCTGACATCATTATCTAAATCACTTCAAAGCTGCTCTGCAACAAACCCTTGAAATTTGTTTCACAACAACTTGAACATTAATTAGCTTCAGAAAGGAAAGCAGAGTAAAGAGAGCAGCATTTATTTCCATCTGATCAGGAGAAGTGGAGCCATTCAACACTGATGGCTCTGCTAATGAATTGATTAGTGAGGCAAATGGATCCGTTTGGTCTCCTGAGAGCTGATGGGGAAGATAAATGTGAAGATGGTCACCCTCTGTTTGGTTCTGTTAAAAATTATAGAGTTTTACTGGAGGGTTCTGCTGCTGAGAGTTTTTAGATGATTTACTGCTTATAAATATTTGACTCATTAATTGTTGATGGACATGGATTAGATCCGCCCATAGACTGTATGGATTAAACGGATAGATGTAGATCTAGCTCATCCAGAGAGTCTAACATCTGTTTGTGTTTCTGCCTCAGATGACTCAGACTGCTACATGTTCCCCCTGGGACCCTGCACCACCCTGAACCCCACCAGCCTGCTCTCCCTGAAGCAGAGCCAGATCGGCTCGGCCGTCAGCCTGCTGGAGTACCACTGCCTTAAGAACTGCTGGTCGCCTCCAGAGTACCACCTGTACTCCAGCAGCGGACAGGACGGGAAGCTGCTGCTGCTCTACAAGGTCTTTTCTCATCGCTCACATGACCGAATTCCCCAATAAAGTCATTTGTGTTGGAATGCTAAGAACCCAGAGAGCTGTGAAAGCATCAGCAGCTGTACTGTTTTAATGAAGGTGGTGCTGCCCTCCACTCGAGCCTCCTACTTCCCCGATAAGCTGTGTGTCCTGCTGGACGACGCCAAGGAGATGGCAGCTCAGACCACGCTGTGGAACCTGGGTAAGAAACACGCTTCGACTCACAGCTGCTCACGCACATCCTCCATGTTGGTTTAGTGTGAGGAAACGATGCGATCTGAATCTATTCAATATAGTTTTCAAGAAGAAACATGGATGTTTGAGTCAGAGGTTGATCTCAGCAGGACAACAGAGGAGGGTTTGGATCAGTGCTGCGGTAATCCAGTAGGGAGGTCCTCCTTCCTGCAGCTTTGCCTGAATCAGATCAGTCGCTCATTACCAGGCCTCTGCTGAGCTAAAGGACACACTGAGTGAGATCAGCCGTTAAATCAATGGCTGCGTTCAAATTAATGGGCTGCATCCTCCAAGGACCCGGTCTACCTGGACTGGGTCCTTGGAGGATGCAGGAGGATGCAGTCCATGAAAATAAGGAAACCGGAAGAGTTTTGGCGGTGAATTCAAACGGCTTACACCTCCGTACGCTATGTTGCTTGGCAACCACGACAGTTGACACACCAAGCAGGAAAAGAATGAATACGTGAGTACTTTTCAAAAATGTTTCTTTTTCTTTTTAATTTTCTTTCTTTTTTATAATAAAGTGAACAAAGACTACACTCTTGAGAATCCAGAGTGGAATAAAGGTTCCAACCACCGGGAGCATCAACAAATAAAAGCCAATGTAATGATAGAAACCTTAGTCAGTTAAATAACATGCTATTGTAATTTTGTACATCTCTGATGTTGCTGTTATTTTCAAATATCCATTACTGTAAAAATGTCCATAGCTGTAGGTTGGTTACCGTAATTTTCGGACTATTAGCCGCACCTGAATATAAGCCGCAGAAGCTAAATTGATTGATTTGTACATATACAAGGTGCACCGGACTATAAGCCGCAGGTTTTTTATGTTTAATGTCCGTCTTTCTCACTGTCGTTCTGTCTCGTACCACTCACGATAGAAGTCTGCTTCCGGAGGACCTCCGCATTCCCCCGCCCACGGCTACCGTACTTGTGTGTTGAAGCAAATGTGACGTCTACATGGTGGATGGTAAAATCCATAGATTTAGGTATTACGCTAGTGGCCGTTAGCTAAGTCACATTGTTATATAAGCCGCAAGGTCAAAAAATGGGGAAAAAGTTGCCGCTTATATTCCGAAAGTTACATTATTTATTCTCCAGGTACACAGTTTATTCTGATCCAACTTTCATTCTTATTAGCTATGCCTGCATTATATTTCCTGATCTGATTGAAACGACTCAAAAACAGAAACTACTCAGGTTGCTCATTTACGTGAACAAAAGTAAGCAGAGAAAAACGTCTAATTAGGCTAAAAATCAGTTATTTATAAGTGGGTCTAGCCAAACGAAGCAGAAATAAACCAATGCCCATGCTAGCTAGGGTTAGCCTGCCTCATCTAGAATAACATGATCCTGACAGATGTTCTTTGACCAAACAGATTGTCAGTCTGCATAAAAAACACCCCTCATTTGGATAATAAGCTCCAATCACATTATTCCCTCTGACATGTTTAAGTGACACAGTTTCAGTCTGATCGGCCGTTTATTACTTCATGTCCATGAAAACGTAGCTACAGATGACACAGAGCTAGCAAGAGGTAAATACTGCTGCACATTTCTATGGCTCCTGGAACGTTCTTGAATGTTCTGGTGAAGATTCCCAGTCAACCAGGTCATACCTTTATTTGTTACTTCCTGTCTCATTACTGGATGTGTCCCAACATGCTGTTCTACAACCTCTGATCAAAAAGAAAAATCTACATCTCTCTGTGTTGTCCAACTTTAGGCCGATCTCTAAATTGCCATTTTTATCTAAGATTTTAGAGAAAGTGTTTTTTATTCAGATTTAGTCTTAAAGGAATAGTACACCCAAAACATGATTAGCCTTCATTTTCTACTCACCTCCATGCTGAACAACACTCTGGAGTACTTTTTTGATATCTCAAATGCATCTGGAGATCTGGGAGGCTTCTTGCTGTCTGCTGACATTCAAATAATGGAGGTCCATGGCGCCCGAGACAGAAAGGTCCATAAAAGTCCACAAAAACGTGTCAATATTCCTCCATACTGCTCGTCCAATGTAATCCAAGTGTCCTGAGTGGGTAGCATCCAGAATTTACTCGAAACGAAGTCATTTAGAATGTTTTTAGAGCCTAAACAGTAGTGTATAGGATTTCCTAATAGCGCCCCCATGCGCGCTCACGATTCTACGGAAGCCGGCAGACCAAACCAGCGCATTCAGCTCGGCAAAGAACTCATGCTCTTCCTCAACACTGAAGTCCTCAGACATTTTTCTTTCGTTGTTTCTTTCTTTGCACAGGTAAACAGCACATTTCTTCTTCTACGCTTGCATTATCGGCAGACCAGACGCTGAATGCGCACTTTCTTCCGGTTTGGTCTGCCGGCTTCCGTAGAATCGTGAGCGCGCATGGGGGCGCTATTAGGAAATCCTATACACTACTGTTTATGCTCTAAAAACATTCTAAATGACTTCGTTTCGAGTAAATTCTGGATGCTACCCACTCAGGACACTTGGATTACATTGGACGAGCAGTATGGAGGAATATTGACACGTTTTTGTGGACTTTTATGGACCTTTCTGTCTCGGGCGCCATGGACCTCCATTATTTGAATGTCAGCAGACAGCAAGAAGCCTCCCAGATCTCCAGATGCATTTGAGATATCAAAAAAGTACTCCAGAGTGTTGTTCAGCATGGAGGTGAGTAGAAAATGAAGGCTAATCATGTTTTGGGTGTACTATTCCTTTAATGACCAATGATATATATGAGAAGTTTCAATCTGGCTTTAAACCTTTTCATAGCACAGAGACAGCACTGTTGAGAGTTATTAATGATTTAATGGTTGATTCAGGAAATCCTGCTGGTGCTCCTTGATCTTAGCTGCCTTTGATACGGTGGATCATGGGATTCTCCTGGCGCGACTTAAGCAGTGGGTGTGCATTACAGGTTCTGCTCTCTCATGGTTCCAGTCTTATCTAACTGATGGGAGCTTTTCTGTGCAGTTAGGTGAATTCACCTCATCTTCAGCTCCTATCAGGTCTGGGGTTCCCCAAGGCTCCATTCTTGGACCAATTCCTGTAGTGTAAAGCCTCGAACTCAACGTTATTCTTGACATTTTGAATCGAAAAAGCTTCCTGGATGGCAGCAAAATGTCTTCAAACTTAGGAACAAAGTCCAGTGGATTTTTTTTAACTTTCTTTTTTTGGAAAGTTCTTGAATTTTAAATCAACCAAGGTGAGGAAACCCTGAGAAAAGACGTTTTTACAAATTCTCTCTGTTCGTTCTGGCTGAGCTTCAGCTGTTTTCTAAAGAGGAATGGCCCAAAATGTCAGGGAGTGACAGAGGAGAGCTGGCGACAAATGCATGCCACACTTTTCAGATTTTATGAAGGTTATTCTGAAAATAAATGATCTTTTCATCAATGGTTGTCCCCTTAAAATTCCAAAAAATGTCCAAAATGTAAAGGAAGTGAAGGGGTGTGAATACTTTCTAAGGATCTAAATAGGCCTGCATTTTTTTAATGAGAAACTGTGACCTAACTAATTAAATTATCTGTCATTTTTGAAGATGAAAATGTTTTTAAGGCATCTCTATTGCGTGTTCGGATCGACAGGCTCAAAGAAGCTGGTGTTTCCAGCTATTTCTGCTCCTGGCTCCTCTCCATCCCTCAGGTTTCCCAGTTTGTTAAAAGGTCAGAGGGGCGTCTCACCGACACCCTCCCAGCTGGAACTCAGCAGGAACGTATGCAGAAATATGCAGGGTGTCTAATCTCAGCGCTGCGGCTGTGATCTGAGAGCCGCCTCCATGTTTTATGGATGGAGTTTAGCCGCCGCTTCACCCTCGGTGTCATAAACACTGACTCTCTTTGTTTTAATGGCCTCCATGATGAGCTGGTAGTAATCTGCAGCACGTCCCTCCTCATGCATTTTAAAACAGTCAAGACCTGCTGCCGCTGCTCGGAGTCACTCTGCCATTATCATTTATTTAGACCCATGCCTGTCCTCTCTGCTGCAGACATCAGACCCAATAAAGCAGGTTCAGGAACCTGTAGGGGCCTCTCGGTCGGCCCCAGAAGGACTAAGTTAGTGTGAAGAGCAGAAACCGCAGAGCACGACAGTGTTTGGCATCCAGGTGGAACGCCACAGCATCTGTCAGAGTCTGAACGGGAGCCAGGCGGGGCGGCGTCTGCCAGCGCTGCTCTGCGCCGCAGCTCTGCTACACGGAGAAAATCTTCAACGCTTGTTTGTGATTTCTCACCTGGAAGCAGGAGAGCATCTTCAGATTCCAAACTTTTTCCTGCTGCAGGAGCTTAAATTTGGCCTCATTTATTAATTTTTTGAAGGTCTTTTTTTTTTTTTTTTGCTTCATTCTGATTATTAAATGCACCGAGAGCTGCTGAACGCATCGACACAGCTGGCCTGGTTTAAAAATGGCCATTTGAGATCACAGCAGAGACGTAAGGTCAACTGGAGCCACAGCGGCTTTACGTGAGGCCGCTACCTGCTGGAAGCCCCCACAGGATTCTGTTTCCGCTTTATTTCTCACTCTACAGGGTTTCCACGGGTCATTAAGAATCATTAAAAGTCATTAAATTATTATATTTTTATTAAGGCCTTAATTGGCATTAAAATTCATTAAATGTGATTATTGGGCATTTAAAATGCTTTATTTGAAAAACAAAAAAGTTTATAAAAACTATTTCATCACATATATTATATCGCAATATATTTGCGCGGAATTGGTAACAGAGAGAATGGGAAAATGCTAATTTCAAAAAAAGTGGCTGTAAAACAAGGAATTCAGGACATGGCTGCAGCCAGTCAACGGTAAAGATGATGAAGGATAATAAAAAACAAACAAAAAAAAAACGACAATATAATAAAATAAAAACTCTAAAGTGATGTAAAAACAAAATCACAAATATTCTTGCATTCTTTTCTAAATGAGAATCTTCAGCATTTTCAGGTGGTTTTATTGTTCATAATCTTTCCAGACATTGACTTTACCTAATTTTTTATTATCATCTGAAAAATATTCAGAATAAATCTCCTGTCAGTTCCGCCACATCAGGTTTATCTATTATTCAAACATTTCATATACTTTTTTGTTCTGTACTGAAAAATTTGTTTCTTTTTATCAAAATGCACCAAATGTGACTAAAATTCACAATAAAACAAGCTACTGTCATGATTTTATCAAGAGCTCGTACCCACATGCAGAGAAACCAATTCAGAGAGACCAGGGGAAAGGTTTAACAGGTTTATTAAAGAGATAATGCTGAATCAAGTGTTGCTCTGAACACTGCTCAACCGGAACTGAAAAGTGAGGGGAAGGCACAGTGGTTAGTTCAGGCTCAGTAGGAAATTTGGTTCTTGAACTTGAAGAGGAGAATTTGGTTGCTGACTCACAATTCCAGAGAAGTTGTTGACTCTTTGACTCCAGTCTGTATGCTGTAGTTCCAGTGTTTGTCTGATTCGGTGGAGGGCGGAACAGGGTTTACCCAGAATGCGGTTGTTTGTAGGTGAAGGGATAAGCTGACTACCACTCAGATTTCCTGCGGTACTTGAACGGGTCGTAATGGAGATGAATCCCTTGCTCAGTGTGAACTCAGACGATCTCTTGAGGGGGAGTGGATTCAAACCTCCAGTTTAAATCCTCAGCTCAGTTTGAAGCTCAGATGATCCTTCCAGGGAGAGAAGGTCCGAAAAATCTAGTTTGCAGGATGACTTCCTGCCGAGAGGCAAAGACAAAAACAATGCTAAAACTCAGGTTGACAAGAACTCAGTTTGACTCAGCAAAACTCAGCTTGGCTAGAGTACCCAAAACTGGCAAACACTCTGGCGTCAAAGTAGTGGCAGTCAGCAGCTTAAAAACACTCCGTTAACGAGGAAACCATCAGCAGGTGTGTGAGGAGGCGGACCAGAACCAGGCGCCTCCTAGTGGAGGAAGAGAGACAAACACAGAAACACAAAAACACAGACAGGAGTCCTGACAGCTAAATACCTCACTAGGATCTCAATGTACTTTCACACACTTGTTAATAAAATATGTAAAATTCAAGAGATTTTTTTTGTTTTGCATAAATGTAAAATTATTTGTTTTTTTTTACATGCATTTGATTATTATAACCATTTGTAATTACTTAATAAACTATTAAGAATAAAATAAAAGATGATGAAGGATTTTGCCATGTTTCATATATATATATATATATATATATATATATGTATATATATATATATATATATATATAATATTTTTTTTATACCATACAGAGGAGAAAGGAGTGCGCTAAGCAAATCATTCAGTGCAACCTTCTATAAACCTGAAATAATCCCTTTAATCCTGCAAAGATCTGTTCCTTCCTCTCTTTCTTCAATCTTCAAGCTTTTTTTAACACAGCAGACCTGAAATGTGATCAACTTCCTTCACATCTCTTGGGTTTTCTTTTTCTTCGAATCTCGTTTTCCTTCAAATACAGAGGATCCATAATCCAAGACGAGCGTCTGACAGATGTCCCGACATCAGCATGAAGGGGAAATGAGACAAAGTGGTAAAATGGGACAAAAGAGCTAAAAGGTTTAAAGAAGTGAGGCGGCTCATTCTGGTCCAGGAGTTCTGAAGCAGAACCAAGCTGCCAGAACCTGCTCATTAAAGCAGTTTTCCCTTTTTTTTCCGGATGCAACTGTGAGAAGGAGGGCGAATAAAGCCAGAGCAGATCCTGTGGAGGACGCTTTAATCAAACTTTTTTATTCCCCTCCATCTCTACAGGAGGCTGAATATATTTGCCTCTGATGGAGCTCACAGCAGCTACAGAACATCCTCTGATTTTATTTCTCCTGTTTTTCTCCTTCATCTCTTCTTCTTGATGTCTTCATTAATCCACGCTGCTCCTGCAGAAGCAGAATCTCCCCCTCACAGATGATGACTCCTAATATAACTTCTATGTTAAAAAACAAAACAAAAACACATCTGTGTCATTTGATCATTTTGCAAAAATACAGATTGATTTTTTTAATATATTCACAAAAACTCCCTTTAATCAGATTCATTTTAACACTTTAAATAGTCTATTTAATTCCTAATTACAATAAGGTTCACTGAAAACCAGTTGATCATTTGATGCTAATGAGGTTTTATATCTAAAGATCTGAGTCTGTGTGGCTGAAATGGGTCTAGAGTTCTTCCAGTAGGAAGAGAAACAGAAGAAAGCATATTATTAACTGATATAAACGTGTCCAGAAGACAAACTAGTCCTTGTTTTTATCTGCCCCACTTGACCTGGCTCTACTCCACCCCACTTTTATAACCCTTTCCATTACGGCTTCTTTTGTACCGTACTGGGCCTTTTTCTATTCTGCTTGGTCCAACTCCTGAGAATGGCTGAAAAAAGCCAACACCAGTACAGAGAAAGCAGCAATGGAAACTGGTGGGTTGGATTAGAGGTCTACAGGTCTACTGGTCTACAGAGAGTTACGGTAATTTATATACTCTGTCTTATTGACTAAGTTAAAATTAACATGAACATATGTGCTTTCACTGATAGAATAACATTAAATTCTGCCATCTTCTATGCTAATCCGTGCCGGAAGCACGAACCATTCTGCACATGCGCCATTAGCTCATTTGTGCATCCGGGTCTCCCTCGATTTTATTTTGTTAAAAAGACCTGAATGACATTTACCCTCCCCCAAAAATAGTAAACATACTAAAATATAATGTGTTAAAGGTTAATAATGTATAATAATGTATTTCCTGAGAAAATAAATGCCTTAAAATCCTTTCTGTTTTATCACTCGTCTCTGCCCGATCTGCACTGGTAATGGGATCCTACACTACTTCTGTTATGATTTTATCTAGAGCTCTGACCCATATGCAGAAGACCAAACAGAGAGACCAGGGAAAAGTTTAAGTTTTATTTTGAATAGATTGAGAAGGCTCCAGTGCTGCTCTGAACACTGCCGAACCGGGACTGTAAAGTGAAGGGGAATAGTCTGCGGTTAGTTCAGGCTCAGTGGGAAATTTGTGTCTTTGACTTGAAGAAGGGAATTTAGGCTATAGGACTCACGTTTCCAGAAAAAGGTGTCTCTAATTGAATCCAGTCGGTGTGGGTTGTTCCAGTAAAGACTTGCTCGTTGGAGGGCGGACAGGGATACCCAGATTGCGGTTTTTCCTTGAGGAACAGAGGAGCTGGCTGCCACTTAATTTTCCTGCGGTATCTTGTGGAGATGAATCCCCTGCTCAGAGAGACGCCCAGACAATCCTTACGGGAAAAGTAGATCCAAAACACAAGCTCGAATCATCAGCTCAGTTTGGTGCTCAGAGAATCCTGCCAGGGGGAGAAGGTCCAAAACATCCAGTTTGCAGGTTGACTTCCTGCCGAGAGGCAAAGACAAAACAACAAGGTTAAAGTCATGTTGACAAAAACTCAGGTTAGACTCTGCTAAACTAAGCATGGCTATAGTACCCCAAACTGGCAAACACTCTGACGTCGAGGTAGTGGCAGTCAGCAGCTTAAAAGTCTCAGGTAACGAGACAACGAGCTGCAGGTGTGCAGGGAGGCCGAATGAGGATGGGGCACGACCTGGTGGAGAAGGAAAGGAAACACAAAACCCCCCATAAAAACTGGATTCTTGACAACTTCCAGTGGCTTAACTTTTTCGGCTTTGGATTTAAACATAAATTTTGAGTTTTATGTTTTCGTTTTGTTTTAACCTTATCGTATATAGTGCAGTCATTTTACCAACATAATTATATTATTTATAGAGACCCAGATGTATATCTGTTCATGCATGCGCACAATGGATCATGCTTCCGGGACATATCGAGTAGTGACAAGGCTAGCTAAAAGGTTAAGGCTAGCTAAAAGGTTAAGGCTAGCTAAAAGGTTAGGGCTAACTAAAAGGTTAAGGCTAGCTAAAAGGTTAGGGCTAACTAAAAGGTTAAGGCTAGCTAAAAGGTTAGGGCTAGCTAAAAGGTTAGGGCTAACTAAAAGGTTAAGGCTAGCTAAAAGGTTAGGGCTAGCTAAAATCTGTGTTTGTTTAGTTACTCTAGCGTGTTGGCTTCACTTAATCCATTCAGCTAGCTAAATTACGCTTTGAGGACAAAATTAGCTAAAATGCTAAAATTTTATAAAATCTAAATTATATAATTTTGGTTAACAATGACAGGTGACAAGCAGTAATTGAACCTATCTGCTGAATTTTGTCGTATCAATGGCCGCTACTGATGCTACAGTAAAAAGAGAGGATTCTATCTAGAATGTTCTGGATCTAAATAATCACCCAGCATCCTTCCTTCCAGATTCTTCCATCCTGTCTGGACCTTTGTACGATTCGCCCAGAAGCCTCTCCCCTCTTTTCACCATGTCCACCTCTGATGGCAGTCCCAGCATCCTGAGCTGTGGGGGACAGACCTACACCCCGTGCCTCCCCGTCGCCCCTCCACCGCCTCCCTCGCCGTCCTCCTTCTCCATCCCTCCCCTGCAGTCTCTCTCCATGTTCTCCCCCGCTGTGTCCCATGCGATGCGGCTCTGCATGAACTCCCAGTCTTCGTTCTACTGAGGGTGAGGCCCACACACGTTCCACCTCTACTTCAGGAACAGGCAAAAATAAATCGGTTCAGATACTTTAATGTTAAATGCAGAATACGGAGAGTAAAAAGTGCTGCAATACAATAAGTAAACAACTTATAAAATAATTAGAATATGTCATTAATTTATTAACGCTAGGAATAAATACAGAATTAATTAAATGAATATATTATTATTTATATGAGCCTCAGTTAATTTCATCTAAAGAAAGGATTATAATAATTTAGAGATTTAATAAATGTATTCAATTAATTTAAACTATCACACATCCATCAAAGTCAATGAAGGAGAACTTTTCTAATGACGGAGTAAAAGAAAACCAGGGTAGGATATTTTTGTGCAGCTCAATAAGAAGCAGCCAATCAGAGGTCCCGGTTGCTACGGATGCAGCTATAGCCCCGCCTCCTTGACTTTCATGGATAAGTGAGAATTTTAAAGATTTCATGGTGGGTAAAGTAAAATCAATTACTATCTCAATCAATAAATTAATTAATTTTAACTAAGCCCATATAATTAGTTGTAGATTTTAAATAAATAAAAATTTTAATAAATGCATCACACATTTAAGTAATAACTTATTGAATTGTGGCGCTCGTCGCCCTCCATAGTAGAAAACAAATTTTTCATCAGAAACTTAAAATACTTCCACAGTTGATTCAAAATTAGATTTTTTTTTAATGTAAATTCTTTCTTGTAGCTTCTAAGAAACAAACAAACAACTCTTTAAAAACAGGGGGGCAGCCATGTTGCGTGACACAACATTGCATCTTGAAAGAAACGGGAAAGTGTTTGGTGTTTTTAGCACCAGTAACACCAGCCATTTTTTTTAAACATTATGGAAAAGTGAGGATAATTATACTGTTTTAATATTTCCTGTTAAAACGGCCATTAGACGTGTGAACAGAAGAAGGACAAGCAGTTAAAAAGAAGCAGGGCTGCTCTTCAGCGCCTCTGGTGGCAAAGAAAGAAGCATAAAAGAAACATCAAAGACAAATGGCCTCTCCTAAATGTGTCAGTGTGGGGGTGGTGGTTGGTTGAAGACCCAAATGCAGAGACGAGGGAGGCAGAGATGAGTACTCTCAGGTTTGATAAAATGTAAAAGAAAACAGAAACAAAATCCAAGAATCAAACCAAATAGCAAGGAGACGCCAGGAGAAAACACACATGGGGAGCTAAGTATGGCTGTTGTCGAAATTTATGGGCTGCGTCTTCCTATCTTGACTGGATCCTTCAAAGTCCATGAAAATAAGCAGATCGCAAGAGTTAAGGCTGTGAATTCAAACAGGTCTAGCCTTGTGTGACCGTTTTTATCTATAATCATTTTGCTGCTATAAACAATAGAGTTTCCCCATTCCGGGACAATAAAGGGATTTTCTATTCTGTTATATTTTATAAAAGGCGTACAAAGATATAAGTAAATCTAAACAATGTGTGTATAAAAAAAATATATCTGCAAAATCTCTCATATTCAACAACAAAAAATACTTAGTTAAGCAAATTGTGCTAAAGAGCAATAAAAAAATAAAAAGTCTCAATAACTCAATAACTTTTTATTGACTCAATAAGCATTAAAGTCGTAGGGAAGTCATATTTAAATTCCAAATCATTCTGGTTTAAACATGTATATAAATGTACTCTTTATCAGACTGACGTTCAAAAAAGTTAGGAAATTTCTAAGTAAAAAATAAAAATAAAAAATCCTTTCTTAAAATCCGGTGGGGGGGCGTCTCATTATTTTAGGCCAGGCCAGTTAGTTATCCGTCAGTCCGAACACCTAAATTCGGCCAATCATATATCAACGGTCATCTGTCAATCTAATTTTTTCAGTCATAGCATCTTTATTCACATGTCACAGCTAATATACGCAACGGTTGAAATCAGAATCCTTTCCTTTCCCACTGAGTTCCGTCCCAGTGTTCACGGGGATGGACGTCTGTGTCTTCAGCAGGCGTAGAGCTAACAGAACTGGCAGCGTTGCGAGGCAAGGGCTCAAACATGTACGGCTGGAAGCCTTCTACACCAAACCAAGCTTCTGCCGCCCTGGCGTCCTCTTCCACAACATCTTCATCCCCGCTTTTCTCCTCTAAATAAATAATGAATGACGGAGGAGACTCATCCACGACCTCCGACACTAAACTCTCCTCCTCTTAATGTTTCCTCTGTCCATAGCGTTCCTTGACAGCGTCGTTTCTAAGTCACCAATTTAGTGCTACTTGGTCCCAATGGAATTTCCCATTGGGAACCTACTAGCACTAAGTTGCTAACTGGTTACCAAGATGCTTCTGACAAACCGGCCACAACCAAACTTGCTTGTGAACCTTCCACGACAACAATCCCGCCCCCTTAAAAAAAATGACCAATCACATTCATTTTATTCATTCGTGCAAAGTCGGGCACCAATCGGGAGAATTCACAAATGTAACGTTTGGAATAGATGTTTGCCTACGACTTTAAAGCAACCATTTTACTTCATTTCAGAGTGAACTAGTCACATGATTAGATTATATTAAACTGAACTTCCAACATTCACCACTGTTCGGTGCCAAGTACCATTTCCTCTGATTAAGGAGCAGCCGGCTTGCTTGGTCTCACAATAAATACTGGGAAAACAGGATAGAGAGGATACATCGGACCGGTCTTTCCTGTAGAGGAATAAAAAAAAAAAATCAATATTTGCAATTCGATAATTCAGTCATAAGAAAAACCCCTCTGGTCAAACTTTGCTTGACTTTAGGGTTTCCATGAATATAGAGCAGGTGGAGGAAAACAAGCTGCTATAACACTAAAACCAGAGGCAGCACACTGGAAAAACTTCTTAAATTAATGTGTTTACCCTTAATTTGAGTAGGTAAATGAGATAGTTTGCCAATGGAATGAGTATTGTTACTCTTAAAATAAGATAATTAGACAATATGCACTTGAAATAAGACAATGCAATTGTGTTTTCTTATTTTAAAATAAGATAAAGGAAAGGATAAAGGATAAGGAAATAAATGATCAAGATTTTTTTTCCAGTGTAAAACTAGAGGCAGCAACAACATAACCGGAGTTACAGATATGATTCATCTCATTGCAGGAGATTCTTTTGTCAAATGGAGCGCGACCTTGGAAGGAGGAAGAGGAGGAGTATCAGAGGAAGACCGGAGCGTCTCCAAGTGTTTCTAAAGTTCTCTCTGTTAGAGGAGGAGGAGGGACGGAGCAGCTGCTTGGACTCTTCGCTCTGATAACATTAGTTACCATGACGGTTCTCAGGTTTAACTGACTGCTGTCAGATCGTCCTCTTGTCTTTCTGTCCTCGCCATCCAGCCTCAGATCCTTCCTGTGAATAAACAGCAGTAGAATGCGCTTTCTTTCAGGAAACCTCCCTGTTAATATTGCGCTGAGCTAACGATTCACAAAGAGCCTCCTCTACGTCTCCTTTCATCCTCCAGAGTTCCTCTCAGCAGCTGAAAACAAGCTTGATCTCTCCTGCTCGTAGCTGCTGACCCCTTTCATCTAAACCTGAGTCATCTAACAGCACATCAGCTGCTTCTCGCTTTAGTTTCACAGCAAAACCAAATTCTTTCTACCTGTAGAGACTTAAAAAGAGCAGATATATAAACGCTTACATTCTTCACTCTGACTTGATATTAAAAGAAACCACAGAAAAAGAGACGGCAGGCTGACCTCCAACAGGAAATCTGGAGATATTTAAACAAACGTGTTCACTTTAAATCCATAAGGCCGACAAACTGGAAACTAATCAGGTTTGTTTGTGATAAAAATGTTTTTCTGAAGATTTAAATGTTAGTGGACCTAATTAAAGCACCGATAACACAGATTCCCACAGTTTAACCATTAAAATAGGTACAGTAGAAAAAAAGCACAGAGAGGAATGAACCTCTATCAGAAGTACGGGAAGACGTTTTAGTCACAAATAATGACAGAATAATAGGATGGCTGTGAAATCAGTTTTTAAATTCACTAATAAGGTCAGTATGCACATAAGGGTCAAATTACAGAACTATTCTGCTTTATTTATTTGAGATTTAATATTGTATTATATTTTAGATTTTCCTTGTAATGTAAGTTGTTGTTTTACATTTAAAATTTAATTTCTATCATCACAGGTTTCTTAAATGTTTAAAATCTACTTAACATTATTTTAAAAGTTTAAAGTTATTTAATTTTAAGGGCACTTTTTAGTTTGAAGCTTCACTTTTTTTTATTTAATATTTATTTGTCTTTGCAGCTAAATATTTTAAAAGCTTTTAGATTTAATCTGGGGGATTTGTTATTGTTTTACTTTCGCAATATTTCTTTAGAAATTTTATTTTTAAATTTTTTTCTTGAAAAAATCATAAAAATTTGTTTTCCAAAATAAGTAAATCCATAAAAGAATCCATAAAAACAATAAAGTAAAGACATTTTCACTCTAATTAGGTTTATATTGACTTCATGTTTATTAATGTTTAGGAAATTGGCCCAAATGGCTTCCCATACAATCTTAGAAATGTGTAATTTCATGATATTTCATTTGTAAAGAAGAAAGTTTTAATGTGATGAGGGATAATGGAGGATGGGTGGAATAATTAGTGAGAGGAGATGATGAGGAGAGGAGTTTGTTCCATATCAGAGGCGGAGAGGATGAAGACGAGACGACCATCTGCAGGGACATCAGTCAGAAGTTTTATTCAGAGCAAACAGAAGAGCTTCCAGCTGCAACGTTAGTGTTTTATTGATCGATTTATATTAGAAGGATGCGTTTTATTGATCTGTTTCCTCTGAAATGTTTGCTTAGTTCCCAGGAGTCGATATTTGTGTCTCCTGACAAGTTCCACGTTCTGTTTCATGTTCTTCAGTTCAGCCGCAGGTCGTTCGACGTTTTGTTGACGTTAGAAATAATCCGAGGTGTAATCCGCAGAGAAACAAACATGTTGGATCTGATAATTCCCGCTTCAGGTGGTAGGATTGATCCGCTGAACCAACAACTGTTAATCCATTTTGGTTTTTAAAATCGCTTTAAGATCACAACCAACCAAACCTGAGCAAAGAAAATCAGGGGCGCAGCTCTAAAGTCTGCAAGTATGTGTGAAAGTCACCCTTATTTATTAAAACTATCAAATATGAAGGCTTCGGCTGCCCCCTGATCAGTCTACCTGAAGAGGAAATGACCAACATGAGGAAATGAAGTGTTTGTTTATTCATGTGGAAACTAAAGCAATTCAATAAAAGTCATTAACTTCCTGCTGCTCCTCTGCTGTGATTGAATGTTTATGATCTAACATTGCTGCAGAATAAAGCTGATTGTTGTTTAGATATTAATAAGGACCTGAGTGTTTGATTAGCAAACTATAGGATAAATATTTCATTGTTCAAATGACAAACAAAATCTATTCTAAAGGACATAAAACTTCTAGTATTTGGTCCACATTCAGACTAGAACTTGTAGACATAGTTGGTGGCTTTTCTATATTGTTATCAGGCGGTTCCTTTGAAGACATTTACAGAATAACCTGTGATCATAATGCAGCTGGTTAATGGGACTAAAGAAGCGCGTTAGTCCTGGTCTATGTCCTGCAAAGCTGTGACTCCAGCTGAGCTCCACTATACAAATATCCACAGACGACTCATATTCCACTGAAGGCCGTGGCTTTCCCGCTCTCTTCTTTTTAAATCTTTTTTGTTAAGTTTCTCCTTCCACTGAACGTTCCATTCATTTGCTGCCAGGGTTCCCACGGGTCCTTAAAAAGTCTTAAAAGGCATTGAATACTTCAAAATAAAATTATGTCCTTAATTGGTATTAAAATGTCTTAAATCATTCTTTCGTAGGTCTTAATTTTTAAAACATCATAAATAGGATTATTTTTATTAGGATTTATTTTTGTAATCTAAATAAAACGTTAAAATTGACAATTATTATTATTTTTTTATTAAAAAAAATAACTGCTCGCCATTATTGGTTCCGTCCCGATAGTGGAACCATTAAAGCGTTGTTGCAGCCGGGACATTTGGGAGATGAACCATTAACTTTTTGTCTGGAAAATATGAGCAAGTGTAAATTTAACCAAAATTGTCTCCAGCCAAGAGTTTTCTCCATGGCTAAAACCAGGGAACATACATGAGGCTCAGTGGATTTAGTGTAAGAAGTCATTCAAGCTCAGAACGATGGGAATTAAGGCAGTGGAGTCACATGCGAAGCACAAAACACAAAGCGTCAAAATGGAGTTACAGAGAAACAGCCGGTATTTCTCAGTTTAGTTCCACCCTTGTCTCTGCAACGCCTCCACTTATCACCAAATCAAACATACTAAGAAAACCATACAAAGAAATATAGCTGCAAAAAGACTTAGCACTGGTTATGTTGGGGCTTTAAAACTGATTTGTTTTGTTCCCTGCTAAAACAAAGTTTGTGAATTCAGTTAAATAATTGTTAAAATATATCTGTCATTTGTGTGTTTTTAGCTTTCTTCCTGTATGGGAAGCTTTTCAAAATTTGAAACATTAGTGCAGTGGTTTATGTTAAAATAAACCTTTGGGTTAAGTTGTCGCAAGCAGGTTGTCGCAAGTGGCATTAAAAAGTCTTGAATTTAACTTGCCTTATGCTGTAGGAACCCTGGCTGCTGTTAACGGCCATCAGCTATGACCTTTCATAGTTTCCTCTTCCTGCAGAAGGCATCTGGGATAAACGGCAAACTCCCTACAATTTCTCTCCATTATTGTAGCAAAATGTATGGCTGTCTCTCCATGTCCGCTCTAAACCCTAAATCCCTCAAATCACTATATAGAGCAGGGACTATATATTGGACTTTATAGTGAACTTAGATAACTGATTGTTCAGACAGATGATCACTGTTTTTCGCTGCCAGTTGGTCACTTAACTCCTCCTCCACTGCTCGGTGCCTGCGCCATATTTGTTATTTATCGCCGCTGTCAGCCTACGTTTAACAGCGGGCTGCTGTGACAGCAAATCCCATAATACAGAGACAATTAATTTAGTTACTCGCGAGGAGAATAGGCAGAGACTGCACAGTTTACTATCTCCACCCCACTCTGCAGTCTTCAGCTTTCTTCTCGCTATTTATTGAAGAAAAGGGGATGTCCCTTATTACACCAGCTGAGGTTTAATTAAGGGGAAGGGAAACAAAAGGATCTTACTTTAAACTCTCATGCTAAAAAATGACAGACTCAACTCCATTCCACTTATTTATACATAAAAATACCATGGTGATAAAACCCCAGTCCATGTTTTCAACACAGTTGAAAACACAGTTGAAGCGCTAACACTTAGCGCTAACACATAATGATATGCCAGGTTCATATCCAGTCCTTATTTTTGCACCAGCCCACCGATTCACTGTGCTGAGAGCAGCGGAGGTGAGTGACCTGCACCAGATATTGAAAAACTACCGGGATTCCTGAGGAGTTATCACAAGATATGTCATTTTAAATTGATCTTATTTTATCTGGACTAAGATAATTCACTTTGTAAATTAATGAGGATTCTAAGCAATCGAGTACTTGAGTAAATATGAATAAAATATACTGCAGCTGGCTTAAATAATCAATGTGGAAACTGAACCATACCTAGTGCTTTTTCTTACTGAGCTTTACTCATTGTTTGCTCTAGTTTATCCTGATTTAGTCCCAGTTTTAGTTCTTGTTTTGCTCACAAGTTAAACCATTATTGCTCAGTTAATTTAATAACCTCGGATTTTAGGACTGATTAAACCAACAATAAACTAAACAAAATTCTTAAAGCTTTCAGGTTCGCCTCACAAACCCATAGGAGCTCCAGAAAAAGAAAAAAGAACCATTGCATTTATTTTTTAAAAGATCATCCAGCCAAGAAAAGACCAACCACATTCAGAGAGGATGTGCAGAACAACTCAGTTATGCAGGATTGATATAAGAGGAACCAGAGGTTCTTATTTTATTATTACTTTTCTTATTCATTTATTCTTATTTTTGATCCATTGAATAAGTTTAAAAACATCCAGAGAAGTGCTGTCTTTTGTCATGGTGAGTTTTTTTAGAATCTACAACCTCCTAGAAGGTCTGAATTGTTTAATTGTAAAAAAAAAAACCCCAAAACGACTAATAAAATAACAACTTCAGATGTTTAATCATTACCAAATATTCGTACACACTATAGTTTGCACAGGATTTGAATCCTGTATTAGTGCCATTAATCCAATAATAGCTTATTAATTCCCTATTAGTTATGTTACTTGAACTGCAGAGAATAATTAATAAACACAGCTGTGAAATTCTTAGTTTACAGTATATTTACGATGTCAGTATTTTAGTAAGGCCCAGACTTATTTACTTCAGTTCTCTGAAAATCAGCAAAAATATAGAAAATAATGTATATTGTGTGAAAAATGTTCCACATAACTACAGAGAACAGATAATAGTCAGTAACATTTACTGTGCTATAAAAATTCACTCCAAGGTTTGGTGAAAAGTTGGCAGCCGTGAATTTGTAAAATACAGTTGAAAAAGAGTCTAATTTGTAAAACAAAAATATCCCAAAACATCCAAATTGAATACAGAATCTTTAAAAAAAAAAAAATGAATACACAATCAAATACTTCAGAGGACATCTGTGTAGAAGGTGTTTTCCTGCAGCTGCAAATAAATTCACTTTGTGATAAAATTCCCTTAAACAGGCGTTAACCTCCGACATGTTCCCTTGCAAACACTGGGGGCTAATTAAGTATCAGGGAATAAAAGTTTAATGACTCCCCTGCCAGTTTTAGATTGCTGTTATTAGCATTAGCCTTGTGTCTTTTGAAGGTTGACGCTGTTAAACTGTCATCTTTTAAAACTTGTTTGGACAGAAGCAGCCCCTCTCAGCCCGTTTGCATCTGTTCTCCTATAAATGTCTTTTTTTTTTTCTCCTTTTCGTTCCTTTTAAGCTCTGCTTCGCAGTTTTTG